CAAATACGTACAACAAAGCACCTTTACATATATGCACTGAAATGCATTTCAAAGAAGTGATTATCAAAAGACACTGGCTTTTAGCGAAGTATGGAAGTCCTTCGGCATGCGCTAGGCAAATAATCATCATCTGGGCTAATTTTTCTCCCACGTCCTGAGAATAGTTAAAGTAATAAAACGGGATAGAGAAACAAATGCGTATCATGGTGGTATTTGATGGAAAAAAAGGTTCAATAAAATTTCTGTTAAATTAATGTAGCCAGCTGGATTGTGTTCTGTTCACTTAAACATAATCCAAATATAGCTTAGGTGGACAAATTCATGTGTAATTTTAATGGAAACTGCAACTTTTCTTTTCGTTTGGCTTAACACCAAACGAGCCAGTTTTACGTTATATGACGGAATATATATATACAGGCACGGCTCTCCAAAATGCCACCTACGGAGGTTAAAAGATCTGAAATTGAAGAGCCCATGTCATGCATTGTATAGTTAAATAGTATATGCAATTTTCGCCAAGTACAAGTAGAATTAAAGAAGTTAAGAAAACGTGCTTTTACATTTCAATGAATAGCTCGAGACTGAAAAAAGCGGAATGGCTACTATCATTGAAAAATTTACGAAGGTCCTCTATTTATAGTAATAAAAACAGAGCAAACAAAAATTTCTGCTTATTTTATTTTAATATAAATAACTAGTACCGCGTACTTTGTTTCGTCTTACATATTTGGTATTTATTTTAAATCTTAATTTGTGAGTACCCAAAGCTGAAAGGAAATTATGCGAACTCTTGATGTAAAGAGAACAGTTAAAACTTCATTAACATCTTTCAAGTTGAATTCTTTTTCTTTAAAGAAGGAGCTTATCGTCAAGTAACATCCAAGTTATAAAAGCAAATATCTGCAAATATCTGGATTTGCATTGACTTGGAAGAATATATCATCAAACCCAATGGTGTACAAATCTTCACTGTTTCTGAGGTGTTGTGGCAAGCAGATATTAATTTGCCTTAATAAGTACGCATTCACAGTGAGTGATTACGTTTGCTGCTCATCTAAGATGAAGGATGGTACCAGTTTTCATACCTCTGGTGATTTTGTGATAAAGGGGTCGAAAAACGCAAAAGAAACCTAAAGGCAAGAATTTATTACTAGTTCTGCAACATTTAAAACTCAAATGAAAAACACGTAGACAATGTTGCCACGAAAGGGCTCATGTTGCCACTTCAGAGGAAGTACGCCAATTCGCTGATATTTGATGTTGATTGCAGCCTAAATTATGTTTGCCATTAGAAACATCTAAATTTTTTGTATGCATTCATTTATTTATTCTTCCTATCCGTAGGAACGCGCTTTCATACGATCACATCCAAAGACACGTTAGAGAAGTTGTAGTTCCTCGTCCATCTCCTAGTTCCACTCCATTCCTGCCCCCAGTGTTCTGAGCACCCAATGTTGAAAGAAGATTATGTGAGCTCTTGATTTTATGAGAACAGTTACAACTTCAACAACATCTTTTGAGCTAAATTCTTTTCACTTTAAAGGAAGAGGTCGCCGTTGAGTAGCATCCAGTTTTAATGAGCAAATATCTGCAAAATACATATTGCCAATGTAATTTTCAGTCATTGTCTAACAGGACACAAGCCAAGTGGAAACGTCCACTTCCAATACTCCGCATTTTTCTTGCGTTTTAAACAGCTTCATGTCTTTACCTATATGGTTGACCTATGCTAAAGCCAAGGAAATATGCAAACTGCATAAAAGGTTGTAAGTAGGGAAATCAAAGAAGAAGAGGTGGTGAATGTAAATGTGGCATTACCCCTTCCAGCTAGCAGTCATTCATTTTGGCCCATAATCAATTAATTAACAAGCCTCCTGTCATTACATCACAAATTGCAACAAGATGCAGGATTTTCTTATAACTGATCATAAAGTGTAACAGGTTTATAAAAGTACACCTTCTGCATTTTTTTACGAAATTCATCCTCCAGCAAAGGATGAGCAAGCATTGCACGCTTATTATGTCATTTATTAGGAATTAAAAAAGGTAAAACAAAATTTGGCAGGTTGTGTAGGTACATGAAAGGAAAAGGGGGTTTTTTATATTATAGAAAATAGGAAAATAAAAATAAAAAAGCAGGAAAAATTTTTATACGTGCAAGCAAAACGCAAATGGCATAATTGGCAGAAGAAAAGTAGAAATTGAACAGGATTCCTGAAAAAAGGAGCCCAAAAATGAAGAGGCAAATACAACTTAATCTGAAAGGAGTAATATGAAAAATTTGAATTAAAAGTCAAAAAATTGGCCGTTAAATCAAAAAAACAATTGATACAACCTATTCACATGTGGAAATCAGATGTCAGAAAAGAGGCAAAATGAGGGTAGAGGAGAAAGGAGAATTAAAGATGAGTGTGGAGGGGTGGGATGTGTGAAAGTAGGCCAACAACTCCGAGTGTTCCTCACCTGTCACCTACGTGTGTACTAATCCGGCCAGACATAACACAACCTCGACGGTGTGATGGAAACCGACTTTATTTTACGTGTTGTGGTTCCTGGCGTTATTTCGCCCTTTGCGTTTCATATTTCATCGTGCACTTAATCAAACCAACAGAGCATTGCATCACATCTCTCTTTCTCTTAACTTTCCTTAATTATCGCCACTAAATTACAAACACACTTTCATTAAATCATTCGTTAATTTATTCATATATTCATTAACAACCTTCCTATTCTATGCTGAAATAGAAGAAGCATCTTCCCAGTATTTACGGGGTTATCACAAACACAGTGCCTATTTAAAATTATGCAGTGGAGGTGAGAATCGCTTAAGTTTAGGGCAAATATCTGAACATAGTCGCTTTTGCTTTTACTTCCGGAACATATGAAACCTAGGGGGAATGATACATTAAGCCGCAACCCAGATGCAACATTCGGTGCTTCCAGTTAGCTATAAACAACATTTTGGCTATGCAACCTCAAGAGAATATGATTTTTCTTATCTCCCATTTTGCCTTAGATGATTGTTAAGGGTCCTCTTTGCCAATCATGCTTTAATCTTCACGGTTTTCGAATGCATTAATTTTAGAAAATGTTGCGCACCAGGAGCTTCGGAGAGTGCAGTTCTACTCCAATAGTCATAATGTTTTTAGTTTTAACAGTAGATTTATTTCCTAATTTGATGAAGTTTATTTTATTGTTGCTGGTATGACACTATGGCCTATCTAAAGCCACAACGAAATACGGGAGTATACCATCAGGACGTTTACAGAAAAACCCACAGCGAATGTAATGTTTGTTATTTTAGGTAGTTATTTACTGTGTTTAACTCGAGTTTGATATCCTATTGCATATCGTTGATCATATATCGGTGTGGATTTTGACGCTTTGAGTCTAAATTTGTAAAATCAGCAAATTTGCCTGGTTTACTTCCGATCTGTAACCTACTCCAAGTGTAGAAATGCTTGACTTTAAAAATTGTCACCATTTAATAAAGTCGTACCAATTGGTAAGGACCTCGCAGAACGAGTGGAAAAGAAAAAGACTTATTTAATTTTAAGAAATAGTAGGTAGAGCATAAGCATCAGGGTTTTGCTTGTCTAAAGGGACCGTTTGTATTAGGACTGATGTTACAAACTCTCCTCATAAATTCACGGGAAACAAGATGCTAGATTCATGGAGCAGAGGACTCTGGCGGCCATTGCTGTACGCAGGCTTACTTGACATTTGCCACATCGGCGTTTCGTTCTGCGTCTCAAAAAGGCCTCTTCTCATAAAGTTTGCATCACTCTATTCCATGCCTACAGGGCTGCCAGCACAAAGTATGTGTATTGACACAATAGGCCCGACATAGTCCACTAATTGATAAAACCGTAATATTCTGGTTATGCTAGACTACCTCACAAAAAAGAGGAGATAGAACACACAAAGATGCTCAGCGATGATAAGGTATCCTCAGTTTTCCCTAGTAGGTAAATTCGTCGACATGGGATGTGGGAGATTTGGGAAATAGGACCAGGACAGGTGCTCCGTTTCTGCTTGGCAATATCATAATTTTTGAACCGAGAGTACCTTCTGCCACCTTCTTTCTGGGCACTAAAGTAGCGGCCAACAATATCCAAATGCACGCATTGCGACTGCGAGAGTAAATAAGATGATCTCTCAACATCGTACATGATTATTAACGACTGTCACGTATATATAGCACAAACAATGTTTTGCAAAAAGCAGTCTGAGTAATATTTATTAAAAAGACCTAAGAAAGTTATCTCGGTTGATTTTCTTAGCAAGATTTAAGCATAATTCTCATCATCTGTGTAATTTCTACATTCCTGTGATACTAGAACCCGGAAATCGTACTGGCAAATAAAGTTTTAATGCCAGATGGAAGTGAGGGTGATAGGTTTGGTTTACACTGGGAATTCAACACAGTCTTCCAGTCGCTTTTCAAAGGGTTTCTTTCCAAATAGTTCTCTTCATCCACTACCACGTCTCAGTAGTAAGTGTGGAATTGGGCTTTTTGTAATGCATATTATGATCGTGGTACGGTGGCGCAGCCACCACGGACTTAAGTGACATCATTATTCACTGCAGGGTTGAGGATATGATGCTCATACATTTCCAGGCCACTTGACACACGCGGATCAAATGCAATCAGTACGTAGCATAAAGTGACAAGATGCAAGGAAATGCATAAGCAGTGAGGTTAGTATTCCATAGCATAAATTGGGGCCTGCTGGTAGCGCTTTTCATTTATTCAATCACTTGTAGACTGCGACATTTTACACCATAGGCGTGACTCTACCTCTTCATTGGATAGAACCTATGACATTGTAGATGCATGATGTAGTGTATTGGTGACGCCACCTTCGTGTAGCAGTCAAACGTGGTGTGATGCGGGAGAGATACTAAAGTGGAGGATGTGGGCCTGAAGTGGCAATAGTGACGTTTGGTGGGATCAGTTTAGCCACCTTGTACCGACTGACGCGCCTTCGTCGCTTTGAAGTGGCCCAACTCTCGAACTGATGTATAAGCAAGCTTTTGCAGGCGCATATCAATATCTAATTAGAATTCTACGTAGCTGTCAGTAGTCCCATGTAAACCAATTCACTCATTCTGAATAACGGTAGATAGCGGCGCAGACTTCCACTGCATCAAAATGCCAAAATAAGAACAATCACGAAATTGCCCTCAGAGAGAGGCCTGCACAAGTAGCACCTGAAGATAGCTACATCAAAATAGCAATGCTTTAGTTTCTCTTTGTGGACTGTTTATCCTCCCATGGAACATTTTACGTTCTTTTGCAAAATCTCCACTTCTCACATCCTGTTATATATCACTTCAATATTGTGTGAAACACCATCACGTCGCCGAGACTGATTCAACTTCGCCAGTTGATCTTTAACCCTGCAGACAGTAAATATGAATTCTATGCTGTAACCAGTACGCAGTATTGACGACGGAATGTAGTGCCCTTAAGTCACATTGAATCACCACCAATGCTGTTCTATTTAAAAATCAAAGGTGGATTCCAAATCACACCTGCAATTCCTCTTCAGTGTGACCTACCTTCGTGCAGAACCTTGTTGTTCTAACTGCATGCTATTGGTGAGAAACAAGGAGCATAAAAGAATGAATCAAAATATCGAAGGCTCGAATTTCTAGTCTTTGTTAATGCCAGCATTGTTTTAAGTATCAGTACTGATTGCAAATACCACTTCTTCAAGTGCGGTCATGCTCTCGCATTTCCGTTCATCAAAAAGTAGTTTCTGATTTTAAAAAGAGCTGTTATTTATCAGCGGATGTAATTTAGAAGTCTTTATTTACCTTGAACTATTAAATTATTAAATTATCCAAAGCTAAAGATAAATTCGTTGAGTCAAGAATGGTATAGCGCCATGCCTTGTCTTAAAAACCGCAGAAAAATACATCAGAGGAAGACCTTTTGAGGTATTAGGCGAGAGATGGGAAGGAATGCCCATATCGGCTAGATGTTGGCAGAATTAATCCGCAGTGACTGTGGCACACGTCATGCATGGTTGTGTTCTAATATGTCAAGGGCATAAAAGGAGGGTAATGCATAGGGTTTTTATCATCTCTACAATCCTGTGAGAATAGCAATGGGTGGTTCTGTATTTTGTTTTTCAAGCGAGCCTGATCCGCATACAGCTGTACTAATTTCTTTGGCCTGTAATAGTGCTCATGTGACAACGAAGATGGTATCTGCAATAACCCGATATATGTGGATGGAGGAATGTCCTGTGTTTTGCAAGGAAGCGATGATAAAATCTGGTGACACTAGGTTTAAACAATTGAAGAGCAACCTATTAGAATATACTGGTACAGGAACAGACAGTTATTTAGGCATGAATTTTTAAAGCTGACTTTTGCTTCTCTGCATATGCCTTCACGAATAGCCATCAGTTCATAGTGAGTGCTGTGCACTGAACTATCACTGCCTTTAGGGAAGGCGAGATCTGTTTATAGGAAAGATTACGATATTTTACTTGTGCAAATACACTTGTCAATCCAGACATCGAGTAAAGTTTGTCCTTACCGAATGTGCCAAGTTTTTGAGCACAAGCTGGATTAACTTTACACATGGGGTGTATTAGGCACTTAATTTTCTTCTCATAACATCAAAGTTTTTGGTTGTACTGTTGGTAGAAACAGTTAAAGTTTTGCATAAATCCGAGTTGTAGCTGTAATTAGTACCCAGACCGTACGAGGCGTCTGCATGAATCGCGTATCTTCTGTTAAAGACTTTTACACAGCCAATACGCGGTGCACTACCAAGAGGCGCCCTCATTTTTAATCCACTAGCGCTGCGTTCGATTTTGGCACTAAGGGCCGTGCATGGAGTGTTCCACTCACTACTTTAATTATTTTACATTCACTCAAGGATTTTGTGACAAAGCAGTTCGAAGGCATTTTTACAGTTTTTATTCGCAAACGTATATTATTTTACTGCTTCATTCGCATATGGCACATATAAGATGTCCGAAAAAGGGATAATATTCTAACATTTTCTGCAATACAGTGAAAGTGCAAAGGACGGAAGCAAAAGATGAATCACAAACATTTGGATTTTGGGGCAATATTAAATTGGAATGGGGATTTGCCCAAAGAAAAGCAAGCAAATCGACGGAAGGAGAAATTAAGAAGGAAAACGAAAAAGAAATGAATATAGAAATAAAATATACATAGAGCGATGCACTCTACAATATTGCAAGAGCCAATAAAGCGGCAGAAGTGAGAGATGATAAAAGTAGGGGAAGAAGGCCAAATGAAGTGAAATGTGGGGGAGTAGGATGTGTTATATCAGGCCAGCAACTCCGGGCGTCCCACTACCGTCACCCATGCAAGTACCGACCCGGACCGACTTAGCACAACCTCGACAATGTGACGGAAACCGCAAAGGTTTCAACGTAGTGCAGTCGCTGACGCTATTTCGCTTTTCATATTGCACAATTCATCGTGCACCTTTTCTAACTGACCAGGCATTGCAGCACTTCTGCCTTCCTCTCAATGCTCTTTGGTTTTCCTAGCTAATTTCTGCCCACCCCTTCATACATTCATTTACCTGTTTATGCACTCATTGTTGCATTCTCTCCATCCATCCGCTCTTCTCTTCGTTCATACCATCACATTAAAACGGTGGCCAAACAGTCACAATTCTTCCTTTATCTCCTAGTCCCGCTTGACATGGAAGCGTTATAACGCCGCAGTCATACCTTTTCTCTCAAATGTGTCCTGTGGTTTAGAATATGAAGAGGAACCTTAAGAACATCAGAATCGTCACCGCTATGGATAGAAGTTGAGTACTTAGTAGAGCCTAATTAAGAAGAATAAAAAGCCGTAAGAGATTAATGACAATGCGGCTGTTTTATTTTCAATTCGCATGACGAAACCTGCTATAAGTCACTTTGTATTTGAGAAACATAATGCGAATATTGACTGGTCCCGAATAGCACTGTCACGCAGCCTAGTCTGTAACTGCAAAACCGGTCATTTTGCTATCATGGATAGATTTCCAGTGCTTCACAAGTTGAGTCTACCTTAGTCTTTACTCGTCACTTCTTATTCGAGACGTATTGGAATGACGAAGGTTGCACGAACTTGCATTTAAAGGCTCTCCAACACAGAAGTCACAGCGTATGATCCGGCCTTGCCTCTCGCATCTTCCTCAATTAATCTCGCAACACCTAAAGCTTTGGGTGAATCGCTGCACAAGCAGCAAGCATGGTGCTGTTGGCTACTGACTTCACCTGATAATAGCATAGAAGGTTCGTAAGAAGCAACTCCTTTCTGTTACCTGTTAATAGCTCATTTATGTTTCGTTGTCGTGAACCACTTGTCTAACTTCGGGAACAATTCCGTCCACTTAATTGATGCAGATGTGAATCAACGAAAGCATTGATTAAATATCTCTTGACACGCCAATTTCGATTCATTTTAATTTCTATTGACACACTACTCCGTGGACAATGAATAGTAGAACGGTAGATGTGCATTTTGTACTTCCGTCTTACAACAGAGAAGTCTGAGTACTTTGACTACCCTATCAAATTCAGTCTTTAAGGGGCAGAGGTAATTTATCTTCTCTCGAAATGGTGATCTTAATAAGAAATCGGTCCGTTGCGCTTCAACAACTGTGCAAATGTCAGTTAGGGAACAGAGGTCTTTTTACATCAGCAGGAAGCTTACTCAACGCGAGTAATTCTGTGTATTTAGACCCTGCAGCCACCAAGCAAAATATAATGTGTTTGCCTGAAATAACATATATGCAGAAAAGAATGTGTAGAG